CCTTTGCATCCTAAGGGTGCAATATAAAATAATGAAAATTATTGTGCTTCGTATAGTAGATGGTAGATGAAATAATTTTCTAGTCAAGTTTTACTTCCTTCGCGATATTCTGAAAAATACGAGTTTGCGTAAAAATCCGCAGCGAAGGTACAAGTAACTCTTGCATTCTGCGGGAAAAAATGAGAAGTAGCTTTCGTTGTAGCAAAAGCAAGGGAAATAGATACAAGTTTAACCAACATTCGACTATCTACTTGAAACGAGACAAGGACGAAAGAAAGCGGTATAATTCCTGCATGAAAGTTACTCTATCGCGAGCACAGTCTTCCCTCGTCCAATTCGAAGCAGAATTTACGCCACTCGAGTATAGCCCTCTATTGTAGTACGAAATTACGTAAATTGACAATTATTCAGTCCCTCTTAACAAGATCCTCTTACTTCCTATCCTCCTTTAGATCCTCTCTCTCTCTTCCTCCCTCCTTTTTATTAACAGAATTCATCGTCAACCATTCCACGATCTTCCTTCAGCTTCCGTAACACACGGAAGATCGCAACGATTCGCGAGTAGATCGTAAACCTCAACGATCGCGGACAGTGATTATTATCAAGCATAACGTGTACGTAGGGATTATTTCGCGATAAATCCCACGTGTACGTGTAGATTAAACAGTGTCGCGCTCGTTTCACACTCGAACACGTCGTGCATCCTTTTTCGTTCACGAAAACAATCTCCAGCTCTCCTTTCACACCTCAGCACTCTGAGCTGACCGGTGAGCGTGTGAAACGAGCGAATGAGAAATGGCGAGGGTGGACGAGGTGCAAATGGGCGAAAGAAGAGTGAGCTGAGAAGATGAGAAAAGAAACGAGGTGAAGGAGGGTAGTAGGGAATTAGGTATTAGATAATAAGGAAAAGTATTGGCTGGAAGACGAGGCGAGAGGATGCGACCCTTGCGGAGACAGATTTGGGAACCTGGAGCACTTGACAAGACACTGCAGGGAAGTGGAGGAAAAGATCAGGATGGAAGATATAGCGAGTGGGAGACGAGACAGAAAGGTCGAGGCACGGCTGGAAAAGTTGAGAAGAGAGAAAAGAGAGTACAAATTTAACCAAAGCTTAACCAAAGGGAGGAGAATAGGAAAGGGTGCAATGGTTAGGGTAAGAATAGAGTAGGACAAAACAGGAATTAGCGAGACAGAGAGAGAGAATGAATGAACCGTATGTGTGGATAAGATAGATTTGTAAACGTGGGATATGTAAACCAAGTCCAATTCTTGGCTGTAAGGCTGAATAAAGCAATACTACTACTACTACTAAGGGTGACTGTAGTAACCCAACATCGAGCTTCCCTTACTTTACACAGCACGAAAATAATAAGTAGCTGACGTTTACACGCATCGAGCGCTTTTCCTCTAGAAAACCAAATATCGAAGCTACAATCTGACAGTCGGCCGCTGTAAATGCAAAGCTCGTGGGGTTTGCGTTACGAGCGGCGGCGCGTGTAGAAAATCTTCCCTTATACGTAATGCACAATTCGGGGTATAAAACAGCCAGCTAGAAAATGTTCTTTTCTCCATTTCGAAATGTGTGTCGAAGAGGTAGAGGAGAGCTCTCCTCCTCCTCCTCCTCCACGCCAACAGAGACCAGCAGTATTTAATTAAACGCTTGGCCTTTTAATTGGTGCATACAATTAAACGACCATGGAATTCATCGATGCATTTAGCCGTGTTGCACATCGTTTATCGAACGATATCTTTGCCCTGGCTGGCTGCTAACGACCGTGGTGCATCTTTAATCGCGCGACAATATCAATTGAACACGTTCCGCGTAGCCTCTGCTTCAATTATTCAGACCGTTTCGACGTCGTTTTAAACGAGCTGCCTCGATCGTGTCCCTTTTTTTCTCCCTTTTCTCTCCCTCGCGACTTTGCTCCCGCTCGGAGAAACGCGTCGGCGGAGGATTTCGGAGGGTTTTCAGAAGGGCCGCGTGTCCGCGCTGATTCCGCGAAAAGCCTCGCCAAGTACAGAGGAGAGTTACGGTGAAAATGTGTCTGAACGAATATATCGGGAAAAATTGGATTTCCCCTCTTTAAACTTGGCGTTATTACGTTTCTCTGACCTCCTCCTCTTCGGCGAAGTTTGCAACTTGAAAATCGTCCTTTCCCCTTACGCTATTTTCCACGTTTCCGTGGTTTCTTTTCATTCTCGAGATGACTCGCGGAGAAAAATATTAAACGTAATCGGGTGAAGCTTCTCTTTCGAGAATGGCGACATAATGGCGGTTCGGGAACCTGGCTTTCGTATCTATCGCAGAAGAAGAACGGTTAAAAACAAACGGACCAGGCAAGTATTTCCTACATTGTCCGCGAAGTGTGCAACACGTCAGCATTCTTTTGTTTTACGGAAAGCGATCGAGCGTTCCATATCTGGCGGCTAATGTAGGAAATACATGCCCGGTCCGTCTCTCCCGAAATTACCCTATCCCGAGAACTGCAGACGGGGAAATTTTGGAAATTCGAGAAAGGAATATCTCTGAGGCTAAAATTTCAAACGGTCGACTTTCGAGTCTGAAACTTCGGCGTGACTTGTGAAGTTTCCCTGTACCTCTAGTTGCCACCTATTTCCCAATGTTCCTTCCGAGACACAGAGCACAACCGAACGGTGTAGCAGCTCCTCCGAAAACGGTAAATTGCCATTCCTTTAGGCGGGCAATTTGAGAGGGTGAATTTTCCTCAGGGAGACTTACAGGTTCGTACGCCTCTCGAGACGTAATTTTCAAATTAGGCGCGTAAGAATAGGTTGGAGACTTGGCCTGTACGATGGTAATTTCTGAGGAATACGAAATTTCACCGTGACGTTTCCGTTTCGTGGCTCGCGAGAGACGAATACAAAGAAGAGATGGAAAAGTCTAATAAAGCGTGACTCGCAGCGCGACAAAGGGCTTCGTTCTTCCACGATTCTTCTCTTTCTTACGTTCTCCAGGCGTCGCCTATTCTTCCTAGGCTCTTCTATCCCGCGGGAAATAACGTTAACGCGGTCAGAGGCCTAAGAACTGGCCCACGTTCAGATTAAACGAGACATACTGCTGATACGACGGTATAAAATCTGTGAAAATCCAAGTCTCCGTCGTATCAGAAGAGTATTCGAAAATATATATGAAAAGACGGGCCTCTTCC